AAACAGAAAATGATTCAAGACTGGAAAGGTCATTGTACTCCTTCGACCCCAGTCTGGAGAGAGCAAGCATGGAGCGTGGAGGGAGGTGGGTGGCGTCTGTTTGCGTGGGCCGCTGCAGCTGCATCATAGTTTGTGGGCGCGTGGAGGGAGGTGGGTGGCATGGGCCGCTACGTCACAGTGTGTGGGCGTGTGGCCAAGAAATAGTCTAGGCATCGCTGTGGGTTCAAGCACCGCGGCGCATGACGTGGGGGCAGGATGTAGGCTGTACAATTGCGCGTGTGCGCCACAGGGGTGCACGAGGACCTTTCTGTATCCTGTTGGAACCTGACTGAAACGGCCCTGGGCGTGGTAGTTGTGAGGACTAAACGCAAGGCTCCGGGCCACCAAATGTTTGCCAGCTTGGCTATGCAGTAGAGGCCGAATTTTTGGAAGTAGAACCTTCCTGTAAGTTCTGTACAGATTGGGGTTGGGGCTGAAGAAGGAGGCAAGTGGAGGCCGAGATCCACAAAACTGTGAGTGTCCAAAATTTACAGCCAAATGGGGGAAAAATGGATGTCATGCGGGTGGGGTGGGGTTGCATCTGAAGATTGTTCAGACAACACTAAGATTTTACCTGCATGGGTACTATAGACTTGTAGGCCGGTTAAGATTTCAAGACTTCTTAAGATTGAAGAATCCATAAAGCAGTCCCCTCTTGCGTAGCTATTTTCATCTGTCAAGAAGCTTTTTGGTCCTGCTAGTTGGCTGGGTATACTGTTTGTTTTTGCATCCTTTAGCCCAACTCTAAGGATTCCAATGCAGAATTAAAAGGGGGAAAAAGGATGGAGCCTGGAGGGGTGCCTCAGAGATTAAAAACACTGTTCTTGAGGAAGACCTGTGTTCCGTGTCTAGCACCCACCCGGTGCCTCACAACCATCGCTCCCTCTTCTAATCTCTGAGAGTGGCGCGCAGAAGTACATCACATGCAGGCAGAATATTCATACTCATAAGAATAAAATGCTTTAAAAAAAAAAAAAAAGAAAGGAAGACGGGCGGTGGTGGCGCAGGCCTTTAATTCTAGCACTCGGTAGGCAGAGGCAGACGGATTTCTGTGAGTTTGAGTCCAGTCTGGTCTACAGAGTGAGTTCTAGGACAGCCAGGGCTACACAAAGAAACTCTGCCTCAAACAAACAAACAAAAAAATCTAAAAGTATCCCAAATTAAAACTTGGATTTTTGGGGCAATCGTGTGGAACACTGCGGTTTCCCATATTGTTTTTTTTTTTTTTTTTAAATCCCTGCATTAATCCCAGAGAGGACAATAGGTAATTTTAGTCTTGGGTTTTTGGCAGAATATGCAACTTATATTTTTACTGGTTATTAGTAAAATTTGAGTTTGTCAGTGATTGGATCACCCCCACGCATGCAATATACTCCACAATAACTTACCTTCAAAAAATAAAAAAAGATCAAATCTCTTCATGCATTAGAATATTTTTAATTATTTTCAAATTTCATTTTACATTCAAACCACAGTTCTACCCCCTCCCCATCCTGCGTTAGAATATTTTTGAACATTGGGCTAGAGTCTGAGCTTGCCTAGTCCAGGGTTAAATCTTCAACACAGCATTAACGGGCTTAGTGGTGTATTTCTGTAACCTCAGTCAGAAGTTTAAGGTTATCCTAACATCTCCGGCTGGAGGCCAGCCTGGATATGCAACCCTTGTCTCAGAATAAATCAAACAAAGGAAAGAAAAGGAACGGTTGATGGGAATGCTCCAAGTACCCAATGCTGACTTTTTTTAAAAATCTATTTATTTATTATGTATATAGTATTCTGGGTATTCTGTCTGTATGTATGCCTGCAGCCCAGAAGAGGGCACCAGATCTCATTACAGATGGTTGTGAGCCACTGTGTGGTTGCTGGGACTGAACTCAGGACCTTGGGAAGGGCAGGCAGTGCTCTTAACCCCTGAGCCATCTCTCTAGCCCCAGTGCTGACTTTTAATGGGAACAGGTGGAAACAAGCCAGTATCCCTATTTCAGATGCTTCTCAAAATTAGTGAGGAGGTGTGTACAATATTTTTAGATTGCTTTTTTAGGTTAGCAGACAGCAGGTTTCATTGTGGCATTTCCACACATCCAAGTTACCATTTTCTTTGCTGATTCCATATCCTGGCTATTTGAGTAGCACAGCAATGAACATGGTTGTACGAGAAACTGTGTGCTGTGTTGACTAGAGAGTCCTGTGTGTCCAGACACAAAAATGTCTCTAGCTGGATCGTGCTGATTGCCATTGTATGGGTGCCCAAATTGACATTCCTACTAGAAGTGAATTAAGGGTTGCTCTTCAATGCAGAAAAAGACTGGACACCGCAAGCAGTATAACTGTAATTGTGTCTTGAGTTTTCATTTCGCTTTGGATGCTTGCCTCAATGTTTAATATGATGCTTTATAAAAAAAAGGTTTGAAGTTCTGGGGATTTTTTGTTGTTGTTTTTTTTTGATTTTTCGAGACAGAGTTTCTCTGTGTAGCTCTGACTGTCCTGGAACTCGCTCTGTAGACCAGGCTAGCCTAGAACCCAGAGATCCACCTGCCTCTGCTTCCCAAGTGCTGGGACTAAAGGCTAGTACCTCCACTGCCTGGGTAACTTTTTATTTTCAAAAGTGAAATAATAATTTTGGTAATGAAAACAATTTTGAAATAATATTGAAGAAATAATAATTTCTGGAGTTTGGTGCTATTTTCACCAAGGTACAAATTTTTTTGTCCCCCCTTCCCTTCTTTTTACTTTTTAAGTAGTAAACAGAAATTTATTTGGCACCTGGGTTCTGGAGGCCAAGAACTCCCAGATCCGGGCTCCATGTACAGATTATATATCAGTCAAGCCAATTAACATAACTGTTATGCTACCGTGTTATTGTGTTGACACCACTAAAACTCATTTTTAGCAATTTTGAAATATGCATCTCCTGCCTAACTTAATAATGCACTATTTATACATTGTGATTGTCTTAATTAGGGTTTCTATTGCTGAGGAGAAGTACCATGACCCAAAAGCAGGTTGGGGAGGAAAGGGCTTATTTGGCTTCCACTTCCAGATCACTGTTCATCACCAAAGGAAGTCAGGACAGGATCTCAAACAAGATAGGATCCTGCGGGCAGGAACTGATGCAGAGGCCACGGAAGGGTGCTGCTTCCTGGCTTGCTCATTACAGATTGCTCAGCCTGTTTCCTAGCCCAGGACCAACAGCCCAGGGATGATACCACACACATTAGGCTGATGCCTCCCCATCAATCACTAATTAAGAAAATGCCCCGTAGCTATATCTTATGGAGGCATTTTCTTCTCTTGGATGAATATAAGTTGTGTCAAGTCATAAGTTGACCCAAAATTAGTCAGCACAGTGATACACCCCCAAATTATTTTTATGTGAGTGTTTTGCCTGCATAAATGTATGTGTACCATATACCATGCCAGGAGCCTGAGGATGTCAGGTCTCTTGGAGCTGGAGTTACAGATGGTTGTGAGCCGTCATGTGGGTGCTGGGAACCGAACCTGTTCCTCTGCAAAAGCAGCAGTGCCCTTAACCCCAGAGCCATCTTTCCAGCCCCACTACTTCTAAGATCCTAAGGAGAGACATAAGCATAGTGGCACATGCTTGTAATCCCTGCTCCTGGGAGGTACAAGCGAGAGGTACAAGCGAGAGGGCAGAAGTTCAAGATCATTCTTGGCTACATAGTAAATTCCAGGCCAGCCTGGGCTAGAGAGGTCTGTCTACAAACTAACAAACTGACCAAAGAGAATGACTTCATGGAGCAAACTGGGAGTTTTATCTGTTTACCAACTTTTTTCCCTCTAGGAAGTATATTTTTTTGAGGCTGATGTAGAGTGCCCACCACAAAGCATGGGGACCCGAGTTCAATTCCCAGATCCCACAGAAAAAGCCGAGGAGGTGGATGCAGGACCATCTATCTAGTCTAGCCTAGCTGGTGACCTCCAGGTTCAGTGAGAGACCATAAGATGGCTGAGCAGGCAAAGGTGCTTACTGCCATGAGTAATGAACCAAGTTCAGCCGCTGAAGTCACATGGTAGGAATAGCGGGCCATCTCCCTCACGGTGTCCTCTGACCTCCAGATGTGCTTTGTGGCAGGCCCCTCCAATACAAAGTAGGTAAATGAAAAATTAATAGAACGAGCAACTGAGGAAGACCTCGATATTATCCTGTGTGCAGACACACCGGCGGGTACATATATACACACATGACACCACATGCACACATTGGTTTTGGTTGTATTTTGTTTGGAGATAGGGGCTGTCCTTGAACTCGCTTTGGACGCCAAGCTGGCCCTGAGCTCACAGGAATCTGCTGCTTTTGCCTCCTGAGTGCTGGGATTGAAGTTACATGTCACCATGCTGAACTTGGCTTTCTTTTTAGTTTATTTTTATTTAGTGTGCATTGGTGGTTGCCTGCACGTGTCTGTGTGAGCGTGTCTGACCCACTGGAACTGGAGTTACATTTGTGAGCTGTCATCTAAACCAGCTAAGCCATTCTTTCAGGACCCTCTTCCCCCCATCAATGATACTCCTTGATCATCATTTACTGGATTTTGATTTTGTATGTTTGCTTGCTTTTTAAGATTTTTTTTACACTTCTGTGTTTTGCTTACATGTGTACCTGTGCACTGTGTGTGTTCAGTGCCCACAGAGGCCACAAGAGGGAGTTGGACCCAGCTAAAATGAGGATGCTTGGAAGAGAGTTCAGGTCCTCTATAAAAACTGCTGCTGTTATTAACTACTGAGCATCTCTCCAGCCCGTGCAACTCATTTCTTGATAACCAAGGAAAGGCAAAGAGCAAGCGTGAAGAACCTTTGAACTTGAAGTCTTGATGGCCCTTTGATAGGAGTAGTTCTTGCCCACCTAAACATTTGCAAATACCCGCATATTCTACCTTACCTTACATTAATGAGAGTATTATGTTTGTTGAACTAAATAATTTTTCCTTTCTCTTTGTTAATAGTTGGACAGAGAGAGTCAGAAGATGTGAGAGAAAAAGACCGAGCTAAAGAAATGGCTGCCAACTCTGCAGTTGTTGAAGACATCACAAAGGGTGAACAGGAGGAGATGCCTGAGATAATCGAACAGATCCCTGCTCCAGAGAGCAACGTAGAAGACACAGCACCGCCCACTGAGTCCCAGGCTAATGATGTTGGCTTCAAGAAGGTATTTAAGTTTGTCGGCTTTAAATTCACCGTGAAAAAGGATAAAAATGAGAAGTCTGATACGGTCCAGCTACTCACTGTCAAAAAGGATGAAGGCGAAGGAGCAGAAGCCACAGTGGGAGCAGGTGACCACCAGGAGCCCGTCATGGAAACCGGAGAGTCAGCATCCAAAGAAAGTGAGCTGAAGCAATCCACCGAGAAGCCAGAAGACGCCACGAAGAGAGCTCGGAGCAGCACAGAAGAAATTCCCCTTCAGGCTGAATCTGGTCAAGTGGCTGAAGAAGAAGCCAAAAATGAAGAAGAAAAGCAAGAAAAAGAACCCACCAAGTCCGCGGAATCTCCAACCAGTCCAGCCAGTGGTGAGACGACGTCTTCCTTCAAGAAATTCTTCACTCACGGTTGGGCTGGCTGGCGCAAAAAGACCAGCTTCAAGAAGCCAAAGGATGAGGAGCTGGACACTTCTGAGAAGAAAAAGGAGCAAGAGGCAGAAAAAGTCAATGAGGAAGAAAATGAAAAGACAGAAGAAGGTCCTTCTGAGCATGCTCCAGCCTCCGAGCAGCAGGAGCCCACAGAAGACACAAGTCAGGCCAGGCTGTCCGCAGATTATGAGAAGGTGGAGCTGCCCTTGGAAGATCAGGCTGGTCTGGACGGATTGGCAGAGAAGTGTGCTCCGTTGGCAACGGAAGTATTTGATGATAAAATAGAAGTCCACCAAGAAGTTGTTGCGGAGGTCCACGTGAGCACCGTAGAGATGGCGGAGGAGCAGGAAGGGAGGAAAGAGGCAGACGGGGATGTGAAAGAAACGGGAGAATCCGTGCCCCCTGAAAAACCAGCTGAGACCAAGGAGGCTTCTCAGGAAGCTGAGCCTGCTGAGGACCTGGTGAAGAGCAAAGAAGTGTGTGTCTCTGGAGGTGACCACACACAGCTGACAGATCTAAGTCCCGATGAGAAGTTGTTGCCCAAACACCCAGAAGGCATTGTCAGTGAGGCGGAGATGCTGTCCTCTCAAGAGAGGATCAAGGTACAAGGGAGCCCTTTGAAGAAACTCTTCAGTAGCTCCGGCTTAAAGAAGCTGTCTGGGAAGAAGCAGAAGGGGAAACGAGGGGGCGGAGGAGACGAAGAACCAGGAGAACACCAACAGGTCCAAACCGAGTCCCCAGAGAGCGCCGACGAGCAGAAAGGAGAGAGCTCGGCGTCCTCCCCTGAAGAGCCTGAGGAGATCACGTGTCTGGAGAAAGGGCTGTCGGAAGCACAGCAGGAAGGGGACGTCGAGGAAGGAGCTACTTCTGATGGGGACAAGAAAAGGGAAGGAATCACCCCCTGGGCATCTTTCAAAAAGATGGTGACACCCAAGAAGCGGGTCCGAAGACCTTCTGAGAGTGACAAGGAAGAAGAAGTGGACAAGGTCAAGAGCGCCACGCTGTCGTCCACAGAGAGCACAATGTCAGAAATGCAGGAGGAAGCCAAGACGGCTGGAGAGGAGCAGAAGCCAGAAGAACCAAAGCGGAAGGTGGATACTTCGGTGTCGTGGGAGGCGTTAATTTGTGTGGGGTCCTCCAAGAAGAGGGCAAGGAAGGCATCCTCTTCAGACGACGAAGGAGGGCCGAGAACAGTGGGAGCGGAGGAGTCCAGCAAAGACAAAGAAGCCGGAACCGAATCTGCCCCTGCCAGCACCCAGGAACACGAGCAAGCGCAAGGAAGTTCTTCCCCCGAGCCAGCCGGAAGCCCTTCTGAAGGGGAAGGTGTCTCCACCTGGGAGTCATTTAAAAGATTAGTCACTCCACGAAAGAAATCCAAGTCAAAGCTGGAAGAGAAAGCGGAAGACTCCGGTGCAGAGCCATTGGCTTCAGATGTTGAACCAGGTAAAGAAGAGTCTTGGGTTTCCATTAAGAAATTTATTCCTGGACGGCGGAAGAAAAGGCCAGATGGGAAGCAAGAACAGGCCGCTGCGGAAGACGCGGGGCCCACAGAAATCAATGACGATGACCCGGACGTCCCTGCCGTCGTGCCTCTGTCTGAGTACGACGCGGTGGAAAGGGAGAAGATGGAAGCCCAGCAGGTCCAGGAGAGTGAGGAAGGACCCCGGCTAGAGGGTGCTGTGTATGTGTCTGAGGAGCTTAGTAAGACGCTGGTTCACACCGTGAGTGTGACTGTCATTGACGGGACCAGGGCGGTCACCAGTGCCGAAGAGCGGTCTCCTTCTTGGATCTCCACTTCCGTGACAGAACCCCTTGAGCACGCCGAAGAAGCCACGCCATCCACTGAGGAGGTTACTGAAAGAGACATCATTGCAAAAGAAGCCCCCGCGGTCACCCAGACCTTACCAGAGGCCCAAGATGCCCATGACGACACAGTTATCAGCGAGGTAGAATTCACCTCCGAAGCCGTGACAGCTGCAGAAACCACAGAGGCCCTCCACGCGGAAGAAGTCACCGAAGCCTCGGGGGCAGAAGAGACCACAGACATGGTGTCAGCGGTTTCCCAACTGACTGACTCCCCGGACACCACCGAGGAAGCCACCCCGGTCCAGGAGGTAGAGGGTGGTGTGCAGGACAGAGAAGAGCAGGAGCGACAGACACAAGCTATCCTCCAAGCAGTCGCAGAAAAGGTGAAGGGGGAGTCACAGGCGCCTGCCGCCCAGACCGGACAGAGAGCAGGGCCCAAAGCACTGGAGAAGGTGGAGGAGGTAGAAGAAGATTCCGAAGTGCTAGCTGTGGAGAAAGAGAGGGATGTCGTGCCGGAAGAACCCGTGCAGGGAGCCGAAGCTGAGCATTCTGCCCAGGGCTCTGAGATTGTTCAGACTGCCCCCGAGAGCCTTACAGAAGTTCCCGAAGTCACGGCGGGTGTAGAGTTGAAGGAGCAGGTCACCGCAAGCCAGCTTATAGAGCCCCAGCAGCTGGTGGATCAAGCTGCAGCCCCCGAGTCATCCGAGACCCTGACAGACAGCGAGACAAACGGAAGCACTCCCCTAGCTGAGTCAGATACTCCAGATGTGCCACAGCAAGAGGAGACCATTGAAAGCCAGGACAGTGAAGCCATCGCAACTGACGGGCAGTCGCAGGTCACAGAGGCAGTGATAGCTCCCGCTCAGGAGGAGGAACCTTCAATACCACCGGATTTTCCACCCCAAGGAGAACATGGGGGAAAACCAGGAAGAGACGTTCTAGAACCTACACATCAAGAGCTTGTGGAAGGGGTGCCTGTTTTGGCAAAGACTGAGGCGGGTCAGGAGGCTGGCCTCCTTGTTGAGAAAGTCGAAGACGAACTATGTGTTGAAGGACCGGAGGGGTCTGCACACACAGATGGACCCGACAGTCGAGAGGCGATTGCTGAAGTGGTATGTGACGGTGAAGTATTGGGAGCCCCCGAATCTCAAGAAAGCAAGAATGTGGAGGTGCGGAGTCCTAGCCCGGAGGAGAGAGAGGTGGAAACCGGTGTCGAAAAGGAGAAAACCGAAGCAAAGCCAGAGCAAGTGAGTGAAGAACGCGAGCAGAAGACGGCTGCTCCTGAACCTGAAGAAGCCCCCCCACAGCCCATCCAGACAGCTGGTGTGTCCGACTCAGAGAAAGAAAGCTCTTCCCTCCCAGACCAAGACAAAGCCGTTTGTGTAGAGGTTCAAAGCTCGGAGCCACCGGGAACTCCCACAGCCGAACCTGTGAGGGCGGCTGAGGAAACTGTCACGATTTCCGAAGCAAGTGAAAGTCTGGAGTCTGTGGGTGTGCATTTAATACCAGCCGAGAAGTCCTCCGAAGAGGGTGACTGCTCGACTCCTCAGCATGGAGAGGAGGACACTGTGCCCTTGGGGCCCGAGTCTCAGGCAGAGTCACCCCCAGCAATAGCATCACCGGCTCCTGAAAACACCCTCCACTCTGGCCTGCAAGGAGAGATAAGCGCCTCCCAGAAAGAGGGATCCGCTGAAGATGACGAGCAGGTTGGTGGTCAAGGAGAGGCAGCAAAGGAGGGAGTCGTCATGGCTGCCTCCGAGATCTTCGAACTCCAGAGCGAGAGCACTAAGCTTGTCCAGAACGTCATCCAGACAGCCGTTGACCAGTTCTCACGTACAGAAACGACCCCCACAGCCCCTGCTTCCGATACACAGGCCCAAGTCCCGGTGATGCAGGCAGACAGCCAGGACGCTCAACGAACGCTGGACAAAGAAGAAAGCCGCCAACAAGTCCTGGCCCAAGACGAAGCAGTGACCCCCGCAGCCCAAGAAGAACTTGCCCTTTCTGATGATTCCAAAAGCGTGAGCGAGACTTCAGAAGAGGCCAATATGCCTGCAGTCAAAAGTGCCAGTATCAAAGACCACCAGTGCGAGCAGGTCATTGCCCCACTCGGGGCAGAGGGAGATGGAAGCGGAACAAAACCTGTGCCAGGCGATGACTGTGCCAAATTCGGAGAAGGTGTCGAGAAGCTGCCATCTGAACCCAAAGATCAAAGGGGGCATGGTGCTGATGGCCCCAAACACCAAAGCTCAGCCCAGGCAGAGGCGGATGCCTCCGGAAATCTAACCAAAGAGTCTCTAGACACCAATGGACCAAAGCTAACGGAGGAGGGAGATGCCTGGGAAGTAGGAATGCAAGGAAAAATGTCCACCGAGTCAGTCAAAGAGATGAAGCTCCAGACAGAAGAGGACCTACCGGAGCCAGAGGGGGACTTGTCAGAATCCTAAGATGTTGGGTAGGTAGACTTGCTTCTGGGAGGGGGTTCCCCGCCCCACAGCTGTACAATTACATGGCAAAAAATTGATTTATACAGACCCTTCAGTTGGAAATAATAACCAACTAGAGGAAGATCTAGATAATATATATTTTTTCTTTCATTTTTTTGTTTTAAATTTATTTTATATGCATTAAAGTTTTGCCTGTGAGAGGGTGTTGGATTTCCCTTGAACAGGAGTTACAGCAGCCATGAGCTGCCATGTAGGTGCTGGGAATTGAACCTGGGTCCTCTGGAAGAGCAGTCAGTGCTCTTAACCACTGGGTCATTTGTTTTTTTTCTTTCTTATCAGAATCCCACTAAATCTTTTTTTATTTTTTCGAGACAGGGTTTCTCTGTGTATCTTTGCCTGTCCTGGAACTCACTCTGTAAATCTTGAATTTACAGAGATCTGCCTGCCTCTGCCCCCCAGTGCTGGGATTAAGGGCATGCGCCACCATGCCCTGGCCTCCTATTTGATTTTTAGAGACAAGGTCTCACTGTGTAGCCCAGTCTGGACTTAAGCTCTAGGTAATCCCCCTGCCTTCGGTCTCCCCTGCCAGTAGATTACAGGCATGAACCACCACTACATCTGGCTCTGGTAAAATGCATTTCTCTCTGTGTGTGGTGTTGAGATCGGAAGACTCTAGATTAGCACTGTCACTGTCTCAGCCTATAAGGACTACCCCCATCTCTCTCCCTCCCTCCCTCCCTCCCTCCGTGTGTGTGTGTGTGTGTGTGTGTGTGTGTGTGTGTGTGTGTGTGTGTTAACTGTTTGGAGGATCCACCATGCCATCTTTCTAACCCTTAAACATGTATGATCGTTGTATGTGTATGTGTTCATGCTGCATAATGTGGGCTGGTAGGTTGCCTGCGTTATGGTGTATGTTTGTGGGGGGCGGGGCGGGTCAGAGGACACCTTCTGAAGATTGAACTCAGGTCTCCAGCTTATGTAGTAAACACCTTTAGCTCCTGAGCTGTCTACCCAACCCTTTTCTTCCTTTTAGTGGAGCTCAGGTCCAGAATCCCAGGCAGCCCATTCCCATAGCTCTTGTGCGAGTGTTCTGTTGACAATAACTTGAGGGTGGAAAAGAGATTTTTTTTTATTTCTCTCTCTCCTTTCTTCCTCCTACAGTTACTCACTGTATACCTGCGAGACCAGAATGTGAAGACAAGCCACGGAACAAAATGCTGCTGTTGGGACGTTGAGACCAAGATTGCCGAGCCCTTGAGATTCAGAGATTGGGCTATCCACTGATTTCAACCTTGGAGAGAACCCCGACAATCCTGAGGTTTCACCAGGAGCTAGAGCCAGCTAACATTTCCTTGTTTCAAGACTGCTTTGATTTTTTCCCCCCCTTGGTACACCATATATTTCTGATTTAAGGTCCTACATTCTCAGCCTGGAACCGATGTCGGCAATACCTAGTTCTGCTTCTCAAACTGGAGCGTCCTCTTTCATGTATTTATATGTATGTTTTATGTAATCCTCCTCCTGTACCTATTGTATATTTTTTTCCTAACGTTTAAGCACATGCCTTTTGTATTATGCAATATGTAATGGGCGTGTAGCCATCATGAAGCTTCGAGAAGCCCCAAGCCTCAACTATAACCTGTGGCAAACAGAGAAATAACATTCCTGAGAGGAAGGTACAAGTCCTTAAAGTTCACTGATGCTTAGGTTTGTGGGTTAGCCATCTCCTGAAAGTGGTCGTTTCCTTATGCACAGCGAGCTCAGAAATAAAATGCCATTTGGAAGCATCCAGAATGTCCCGATATTTCTGTGACGTGTTTCTTTCTAATCCAGTCCAGGTGGGAAAGAAGTCTCTTTAGTGGCAGATTAAGCCCCTTCTCTTAGTGACATGGACAGATGAGTGTGCCTAAGGCCGTGAGAAGTTTTCCACCTTAAGAAGGAAATCCGTTGTACTTTTTTGATTGTACTCATGTGCTGGATTGAATTCATACGCAGAACGAAGTGAGTCCTGTTCTTTATAAATGGTATTTTGATAGATACTGGAGTGTGTCTGTGTTATATCTGTGCCCCTTTTAAGAACAATGTTGCATTATGTTCATTTGGATAAATTGTGATTTGACAGCTGATTTAAATAAAATATTTGCTTCACTTAGAGTCACTTGTTTTTATTAAGTGCTAAGGGGCCTGGGTCCTATACGCACTGTGTTAGAATAAATGTACTGACAAGAAGAGAAGAGGAAGAAGCTGGAACTTTCTTACCAGGCACCCATGAAGATGTCACTTTGTCCTGGTTTGGCACATCAGCAGATGACTTGCTGGACACTGTGGCCATAGGAAGGCAGCAGGCAGCAGCTGGTTACACCTTGGCTAGATGAAGCCAGCCTATGACTGTTGCGCTTAGTTAGCTCCTCCTTCCTCTTTCTTCAGGATAGGATCCAGCCCATGAGATGGTGCCACCCACATTCAGGATTGGTCTTCCATCTTCCAGCCAAGCCCGGAAACTTTGTCAAGCACAAACTCAGAGTTGTATTTCCTAGGTGATTCTAAAAACCAATCAAATCGCCAACATTCATCATAATATCCAAGAGCAAATGCCGAAGTCAGCGGCAGGATGTATACGTCTCCTAGAGAATTTGAAGTAGAGGTACATTAAGAGCTCTGTTGTGGAAAACAATAGCCACAAAGATTCTTGCAGCCTTTGAAGTGAAGGAGAAGGGGTACTAACTAGAGGTTGACTAAAACCAAGGCCTTGCACATGCGACACAAACACTGTACCACTGAGATGGTGACTAGAATCCCAGGCCAGGATCTGTAACAGGCTAGCTTCAAATTGGCCATCATCTTCCGTCAGTCTCCCAAGCAGCTAAGATTCAGAGGCATGTGCTACCACACCCAGTTCCTTGCAAAATTTCTTCAAGCTTAACATAGAAACTTTGGCTTGGTGTCTGATGAAAGAAAAGGCTCTCTGTCTGTCTCTTACTCTCTTTCACTCACACACACACACGCATACTGCAAAAAAAAACACCACCTTTCTTTCCTTCTTTCTCCTTTTCTTCTGCTCATTGTGAAACTGCAGCTGGTTTTCTGTAGCATTTTCCTCAGAAGAAACACTCTGCCAGGGAAACTCAGGAAGCAAACGACTCAGGAGTTTCAAGCTCTTTCTGAAACTGACCAGACTCAGCAGGCCCCTCTCTCCCCAAGCTTATTCAAGCACTAACAGCCAGCTGATAGATACTCCATGTAGCCAAACTTCCTGGAAGAGGTTCGGATCAACTGATCTGCCTAGAAGAGACACTCTGGGACCTGTTGAGCTACCTGAAAGTCATTCACTGATCGTCAGGATTAACCCATGCTTTTGGGAGGGCTTTCGGAGATGCAGCTGCATTTGAGTCCTTGTTCCTGATCACCCTTACTCCTGTAAGTAACCTTACTTTGATCTGTTGTTACTTTGCTATCTGGGGTGAGTAGATCTTCACATTCCCCCAGCACTAGTGTCAAACAACAGTTGACCTTAAAATTGAGATCTCCATGCCTCAGTACTGAGGGGCTGGTATCACACAGGACTCTATCTAGCACCCCCACGTGAACACGGAAGGAAACCTTGCACTTCCTTCTTCCCCCCTTCTTCCTAAACCACAGAACACACACTAAAAGCTAGCCACCAAGGTCTATTCCCTATTTGATCATTTCCTCCTCCCGAGGCTAACTGCCGAGGTGCAGCTATCAAGGGATTGAAATCCTGCAATCAAAAGCCCTCTTTTGGCTCACCCAATTAACATGCCCAATCAAGACAAAACCAACTCATCCGAACACAGGGTTCCCCCCTTCCCTTTATAAATTAGCATTTGCCTATGGGCCAGGCCTGTTTCTATCCAGAGGCAGTCCTTTGTCCTCCAAGGCAAATATCCCTTCTTTCTTTCCTCTTCTTCCTCATTCTCAATCTCCTGTCTTTTCTCTCATTCTCTGCCCTTTGTTCCTCTGGTCTTGGTGTGTCCTGTGCTGATTTTGGTCCTTTCTAGACTTACTTAGAACTCACTGGTGCCGTTTCACCTTCCTTTCCAATATACAGAGGCTAAGAGATGACTCAGCATTAAGAACTTTCTTTTCTTGCAGAGGACTTGAGTTCAGTTCCCATCACCATGTGGGAGGAGAAGAGAGACTTTATAAGTATGGGGGCCAGCCGTGATAAGCTAAGTATGGGCAGGTTACCCAAAGGAAGTTCTTTACTTCCAACCATTATCACCTGGGACTCTGGCCATTGATAAATTTAAACAGAGGCCTGAGTCTCAGTAGTTTACCCTGACGCAATGCCTGGTTGCAGGACAAACCACAAACTGAATTACCTGACCCCCACCCAAGAGCAGACCATTCAAAGGAAATGCCTGGCATTCCAAGCACTGTAGATAGGATCACCTGCCAGCGCACATTCACCAGGACACCCTAGAAAAATGTCAGCCAATCAGGGGTCTTAAAACCTCGGAAACCCATCACCCCCACCTTTACTACTATAAAACCCTATTCTAATCGAGCTCGGGGCTCTCCATTTATTCCAATACGTTGGACATGCAGAACGACCAAGTTTGCAAACTTGATTAAAATAAAGGCTTTTTGCTTTTACATATGGGACTTGATTTCCTTGTTGGTTTTTACGGGGACTTTGCAGATTTGGGCATCACATTAAGCACATACAAGGAATGTATGGCCTCCACAAGTACCACACTCGTGTGCACAGAAACACACACACAGGTGGAATGTAAAGATAGAACGGATTAATCCAGCCTAACATTTCTTGTTATCAAAGCCTAAATAGGAGATTTTGACAGACTGTTGGGAAGCACTGTGTGAGGGTACACGAGCCAGAGTTAGCTCCCTGAGTACTTTGATAGTTCTGGAATCATGGCTCTGGGTTGCCTTATGATTGTTTGATATGTTTCGTTTTCAGGCATGTTCTTCTAAGAGGCACACACCGTCTCTCTGTGGAATCTGAAGAGAGTTTTTCTTTCTTGCCCAATGCATTTTTTTGTCTTTATCCCCCCAGGAGGCCCACGTATTTCTAGGAGGCATTTGCCGTCTCTTCTGGCTCAGTTTCCCACCGTAACTCAGGGTCTGGGTCTGGGCTCTCTCAGCCTTTGGCTGGCTGGCTTCAAAGACCTTTCTCTGCTTGAGGACATCTCTGTCTAACTGAAAAGAGAAAGGAAATTTTAATCCATTCTTTTATTATTTATTTATTTAACCTTTTTTTCCCCTACCAGCCAGTTTCTCCTCCCTCCTCTCCTGTTCCCTACTCCCACCACTCCCATCTACGCCCTCCCTATCCAATCCTCCTTTTGTCTCCATCCAGAAAGGGGCAGACCCAGTCTGTTCTTTTATTAAATATTTGCTTTTTTTTTTTTTTTTTTTTTTTTTTTTGAGACAGGGTTTCTCTGTAGTCCTGGTTGTCCTGGAATTCACTCTGTAGACCAGGCTGACCTCGAACTTGGAGATTCGCCTGCCTCTGACTCCCAGGTGCTAGGATTAAAAGTTTTCCCCACTACTCCCCAGCCCTTTTAAGTATTTATAGCAAAATTGTAAAGGATGAAGGACTATGAAGCTTTTCTCAGCAGCGAGATCTGAACTTTGGGTAAAGTCTCTGATGCTATCGATGCCTTTGTTTTGAGACAGGCGTGGAACTTGCTGTATAGACCAGGCTGTCCTCAAACTCATAATCACCTGTTTCTGCCTTCAGACTGCTGGCGTGTACCTGGTCCTGATCTGTTCTATATTTTCCCCTGGACTCTTGTGAAGGGTAGGGCAGACTGCTTCTTGGAAAATTTACTTTGCCTTCTTTCTTCTTCCTCCTCCTGGACCTTCTCCTCTCTTTAAGCAAAGTCCCCGTTTATTCTAGGCTAACCTGGAACTCATGCTGTACCCCAGGGGCAGCTGGAGCACATAATGATCCTTCTACGCCAAACTCCCAAGTGCCTGGCTTTTTTTGTTTTCTGTTTCCTGACAGTTTTACTATGTAGCTCTGGCTGGCCTGTAATTCATGGTAATCCTCTTGCCTCTACTTCCCAAGTACTGGCATCCCAGGCATGTGTCACTGCTCCCACCTCTTCGACTACATTCTTATGAAGGGCTCGCAGGTGACAAGCACATCTGGAATGTGGACAGGAAGTTTAGGACAACCCCTGAGTCTTCAAACCCTTTCAATTCCGAGATGCTAATAGAAGGGGAGACCATTATTTTGCAACAGAGATACCAGGAAACCTGCGTTGCTCGGAGTGGGGTCAGCATCAGCACCATCTGGGAACTCCTTATAAAGTATGGGGCTCCAGGCTGACATGTCATTCAGCTAGTAGGACACTTGCCTAGTGCCCAAAATCTCAGCACAGGAGAAGGCTGGAGGAATGAGTTTGAGATCATCCTCAGGTACATATGGAGCGTGAGGCCAGGCTAGGTTACACGACAACGCGACAACGCCAAAACAACATTAACAAAAGAAACTCCTGAGTCCATCCATGTCCTTTCAAGAGTAGGGCTAACAATCTTTCTGCTCAAGCCTTCCAGAAAGTTCTGTGGCACAAGATTGAGGGCCTCTGTGGTGACATAAAGCTTTAAAATACCTTGAAAGGCGGAGCATGGTTGAGTATGCTTCATGCCTTTAATCCTAGCATTTGGGAGGCAGAGGCAGGTGGATTTCTGAGTTCAAGGCCAGCCTAGATTACAGAATGAGTTCCAGGACAGCCAGGGATACACAGAAAAACTGTTAAAAAAAAGGGGGGGGGCTGGAGAGATGGCTCAGCGGTTAAGAGCATTGCCTGCTCTTCTAAAGGTCCTGAGTTCAATTCGCAGCAACCACATGGTGGCTCACAACCATCTGAAATGAGATCTGATGCAATCTTCTGGCCTGCAGGCAGATACACAGACAGAATATTGTATACATAATAAATAAAAAGATAATTAAAAAAAAAGACAGTCCCTCATATCGGAGATATCATGAAAGGGGCCCTTAAAGGAAAGAATCCTCTATAAAACCCAGAGAGAAGCTTCATTTAGAGGGATAGCTTAAAGAGTAAGAGATGAATAGGGTGAAATAGGGGAAAGCCCAGAAGAGGAGCCTTTAGAGCAGCGGTTCTCACTCATGACCCATTTAGTAAACCTCTAGCTCCAAAACG